GAGGGGCTCAGCTGGCCCCGCCGCTGGGGCCGCTGGAGCCGGCTGGAACCGGCTGGGTCCGGTGTGGGGCAGCCCAGGCTGCTCCTCACAGGGGCCGCCCCTGCAGCCCCCACTGCTGCTGCCAGCACCTGGGCACCTGCACCCAGTGCAAAATTTAAAAATGAATTAATGTAATCGCATTGAAGTTTTAAGTAAGGACACTGAAAAAGCAGAAAATACTGGTTTTGGAAAGTTTTGCCCTGAAAGAGGCTTGGGCATGACAGCTGACTTCTAGTTTGGGGAAGAAACCCCCTGGACCATAACTGGCTTTAAAAGGTGATTCCTTAGTGAATGTAATTGTCCACAGGGTAAACATTAAGGAAAAGCTTAGCTACGGTCCTGTGAGGCAGTGTTGATCAGCAAACTGGTGCTCCAGCTTCTTCCTGCCAACCCAACTCCCCTCAGTGAGGAGGCGAGGACAGCTGCTGCATGCCCTGGTCTTGCCCGTGCGTGGGGCTGAGGCTGTACGCAATCAAAGGCGCCGAGCAAGCCACCAAATGCCTGCAAAAGGATTGTAAGGATCTCTATGCACAAATGGCTTATGATCGCTTTTTACAAAAGTATAGGTAGCTCTTGGATGAAGACGGACTGAGGAAGAGTAACTTGGGAATCGGTTCTTCCTCTAGTGCTGTTTTTCATTTTTCTCAGCCGTTTTGATGATGACATGAAATTATGGCTGGTAAAATTTGCAGATGATATGAACTTAGTAGCATGGTAAATAATAAGGAACATAGTTAAGAGCACTGTGAATAGTCTTAGGAGTAGTCTCTGATACCTGATTTCCTGTATATTTAGAGACTAACCAGAAGAATCAATGACATTATTCGCTTTGTGTTTTGTTTTGTTTTGTTTTCTCTCTTAATATTTGACACTAGCAAAATTATTCCAGCTGATTTGGAGGCTGAAATACTGAAAACCGAAAGCCAGGTTGTTGTTTTCACTCTCATTTTTAACGTTAATGTGGAGTTGAAAACAACAATGCTATGTGAAATCTGGCAGCATTAACTCACATAAAATTGTCATTGATACTGATTGTAAAAGACAAAGCAGGATATATTTTTATTTTCACCCCCCAGGAAATAATAAAATAGCTGAAAAATCTGGTTTTGAAGAGAATGAGAATTGTCTGTTAATTTGTGTCAAATTCTGGCCTGCTGTTTCAGCCAGCTTTCTCCAAATGGAGAAAAATTTGAAATGCTTCGCTTTGATATATTTTTAAATGAAACATGTTGACTCTGTTGGCTGACAGCTGAGCTATTTTAAAAAATAATTTAAAATTATTGTGGTACTTGATGCGTAAATATTTCATTTCAGGTTGATCTGAAATGGGGGCTTTTGTTATCATTATTGTTTAATTGTTTTTCACATTGCTGAAATACCTGCATATGTGTTTGGGGGGAGAGCCAAGAAAGCTCAGAAAATGTTCTTCAGAGACATTACCATCACTGCAGGAATAGGATCTACATTTGCAAAAGCACTTAAGAGCTTGTGGTGTCTTTGGATAGCTTCTGATTAAAAGTAATGGAAGTTTTCTGATGGGCAACAATACTTGGCTTATGTTGTGTCATGGATATATAAAATTTTTTCACACACAAATAGAAACAGTCCTACAGAAAAAGTGCCATTATATTTTTGGGTTTTTTCTTTTTTGGAAGAGCACTCTTTTTTCCAGTTCAGCCTGAAATGGAACAGGAATTTAAGAAATGGGAAGAGATGGGATAGTAAAGAAGACTGTTCTTCATTATTAAGTACAGAGATAAGTTGTGCTAGAGATATGAGGAAAGCATAATAGGTTTTCTGAGATGTTTTTGAGCTCCTGTGGACTTGCAAAATCTTCTGTCACTTTCAGGGTCACATCCTATTATATCAGTGCCACTGCTGGTACCACCATTTATTGGGCCCTTGATCCCCTTTGTGACATTGCTGATGTATGTGAGAAGCATAAGCTCTGGATGCATGTGGATATAAGGCTTTGTGGAAATAATGCTTGGCATTATCGAAAGCTTAAAAACTGGAATTAGTTCTGTAGGTACAGCTTTCCTGAGATTATGAAATGAATGGCCTATTTGCCTGAATGGATGCTATTGGAAAAAAACATAGAAGAGGATTTAATCTTTCAGTATAGGTTGTGCTTGTTTACAAAAATGGTTGCCTGCACTCATGCAGTAATATAGCACATACCACTTCTAAGATGGTTCTTCTTGCATCAGCTAAGCCAGCTCCAAAAATTAAACACACTACCTCTGCAACATACCACATTTGAGCTCCTGAGTTACTGTCTGTCTTCAGAGTTGTCATTCAGTTTACCCTCCTATTTCAGGATACTTGTCTTGTAAGAAAGTAAGGTTGATTATGCTTCCTAAACAAAATTCTCAGCTCTGGTATAAGTATGTGGGTGTAGAGGGGAAAGTAGCTACTTTTGGTTTTGGGGTTTTGCTGCTGTTGTGAAGAGGTATGAATAATTATGGTTTATATCTTTAGCCAACTTTGGTATTGTGTTTACTAAAGAATCTGAATCTTTTTTTCAGATTTTGAAGTTTGTAGGAGCTCTAGTTCATAAACCCCTCCTGAAAACTTCTAGATAGATGCTATAAATAGGCTTGCATGCCTAATGTTATGAAACCATTTTAAGGAAATATTGGCTGTTACACATAAAAACAGTTAAATGCTGATGTGCATAGCATTGATTTCTTCCATAGTACAATGACAGTATAATAGAAGTATAATGAACTTATTCCACTGAAATCACTGTGTCCTTTAAAGATATTCTGATTTCTGCAAAATATGAAGAGGATGTCAGACTAATTATGTGGGGAAAAATAGGAAACTGTTGTAAAGTTGCCTTGCTCTGATAGCTGTTTGGTACTTCAGAAGTGGGAGCTCAAGATATTTGGAAAGGATGATGACAGTGAATAAAGAATACAGAATGAATATAGAGGCAAATTCTTTTCTTACATCCACATAACCCAACTATTCATAGTTAAAGACCACACTTACTTTCATATGCAGTCATGCCTTTACTGAAAACAGTGAAATGCGGATTGGCATAAAGGTGACCAGAATATAACCCTTGGTATTTTTGAGTTCTTGTTATGGTGCTAAATTCCGCTTATCTTACTGATGCATTAAACCATGTTGAAGCCAGTAGGACTAGTTGTGTAACTACAGGTTGAATCAAATACAACCAGTTTATTATCTTCTATAACAAACAGCAGAATGGTATAGAAAATCACTGCCATAGTGCAGCCCTTTGTAATACTTGCCGTATATGATCAACCTACTTTCTTTTTTAATGTATTGGTTTTGTCCTATACTTGTGCTGGGGGAAGAGGGTAAGCTGTATGTTTCTTTTCCTCTTTGAGTTTCTTTCTATATGATACTTGAATAATTCATTGAACAGTTTATATTCCGAAGATGAAATATTTAATGATGGTTGCAAATCTTTCCTTATTTTATGATGAGTGTAAGTCAGTCAAACATTTTATGCAGGCTGCATGGCATGGTGGCCTGATGACGTCTAGGAAACATACTTTTAAACTCAATGTCACTGAAAGGTGAGCACAAGAACATGGTGTATTTTTATTTTTTTTTCCTTTCAGAGTAGATAATCCTTTTTCTCTTGTCATTCTCACCATGTTGCTGCTGCTTTGAATCTCTCGCTGCTTGCTGTCACTACACAATGACATTTGGCATCTAGGAAAAAACAAAAACAAACTAATAAGCACCCCTTCCCCCCCCAAAAAAATGCAACCCAACAAAACCCAACCACCCCCCCCCCAAAAAAAAACAAAACAAAAGAAAAAACGGGGAAAAAAATCAGTCCTGCCCCACTTCAAAAAAAATCCTACCCTCTCTCTTTGCCCTCGCGCTATATTAAACTTTTCTTGAACATATCTTCCATGTATTTCCCTTTCATGCCATGAGTGTTATAGCTTCTGCTTAAAATACCGTACAATAACATATTTCCTCATCAACCACTGGCCCTTTTTTCCCTTTAATTTTCTTCTTGGAAGTGCTTTCCTCTTAAGCATGATGTCTCCCAGTTTCTGTACCCTGACTTGTTATCCTATGTCCCTGACCTAGAACTGCAAGCCTTTTCAGAGTGTATTTATACTGTAGACCATAGTGCTGGGTGGGTATATGCAAGTAGCTTAAATCCCAGAATCAGGGCAAATTAGCCCATAGTGCTGCTGTGAAGGTATGTTGTTTTTACTGTCAGTCTAATTGGAGGAGTCTGTACTGTACTGTGGTGAACAGCATAACTATAACATGGAACAAATTCTGTGCTATGCACACTGGTGGTCATATGTAACTATTTAATAAGCTTCTATCTGCACGGGAACAATTTGAAGTACTTGAGATGCATAACGTCTGGATGGTGCTTTACATTACATTTGATCTTTATGTCCTATTCTGTTATTTGGAATCCACACAAGCTGATGGGGGCTCTGCTCCAGTGTTCAGACTTCCTCATTTGCAGAAAGGTAACACAACTTGGCCCACTTTTGTATCACAATGCACTTTGGGTGACTCCTCTGAGCAAGTTTGAGGTCCTGTTAACGCTAGAAGCATGAAAGGTGGCTTACCACTCGGACAGCAGCATCAGTTCTTTAACTACTTCTTTCTTTGAAGCTTTCTGGTGGCTTGTATAGCCAACCTTGTCCTCTGCTGTAGAGCTTATATCGCTGAGGTTTCCTGCTCCAGAACCATTGTGTGGTCAAGAGGAGAGGCTTTCCTATTCAACTGGTGTCAAATAAGTAGAGAAACATGTTCCTAGGAGCCTCCTTGAGATCCTACCCTACGGGTATACTCTGTAGAGGAGAGGTGTGCAAGGACAGTGATCAGGTCTACTTATCAACAGTTTCAAACAGTCAGAGAAGGCTCAAGAAGAACATAAAATGGAAGCATGTCTTTTGCAGATTCTTAGACACACAAGAAAAGCATTATTTTGTTAACAAACACCTAAAAAGTAATGCAATGTCTTTAAGCTCACTTCTGAATTTCAGAAAACTCTCCCCAAAAAGGAGCAAATAGTTCTACAAGGTTGTGTGAGCCAAGCTTATATTCTGTTATACATTTATAAATTTAAAGATTTAAAATTGAAAGGCAAAATTAACACATTTACATTGTACAGTATCTGTTTTGGGATTCTTCCAACAAACCCGGACGTCTTTTTCTAAGCTGTTGCAAATATTTGGAAGTACACTGAATGAAAAAATTGGAGAGGGGTTCTCTTGGATCCCAGGGTTAGTTGTTATTCTAAGTATTGTCTCTGCATAAATTAGAAGAGCAGACTACTCGCTTCTCTCACCTCCTCATTAAAATACCTATGGAAGCTGCCATTCTTTCAACAGCAAAGCTTGCTTGCCAAACTAATGCCTGGCAAACAGAATATACCATAGTAAAAGTTAAATCATCCCTTGTGCTGCTAGGTACCTTAGTACAGTATTCAGAGTTCAGCGTGTCTGAGTTTTATTTGCAGAAGTCAGCATGCATTAGGGAAAGGTGTAAATTTACAGCATGTTAGTTACTTCTCTTTCCTTATGCAAGTAGTTCTTCAAATACTCAGCATGGGGTAGCTTTCAAAATGCAGCAACCAAGCTCTCACGGAGATGCCCGGAGCCCACACAGGGAATGTAGCAGTATTTTATAGCCTAGCTAAATGCTCACTAATTGTCTCATGTAGACAAGCCACAGGATAATGCTGTGGTGGGTGCATTAATTATCTGTAGGGGTTTATAGTTTTTAACCTTGACATTATATTGCAAGTACATTCAACTTGTCTATGAGATACTGCTATGAGACGTTAACAGGTTTGCTTATTTGGTGGTTAGGTTTACCAAGATCTAGGCTGTCATTCTTAGCCACAGGAGCAACAGGAAACATTGTGTTAGAGGTAAAATTGAATGATCACTTTTAACATCACATGATGATTCCTCACATGTTTGATTGGCTGTTAATTTTCATGGGTTTAAACTGGAAAGATCCTCTAATACTTCATTAAGCTTTATTTCTCTTCAGTTGATGGAGGTGTGGCTTTGAGCAAGGAGAGATTTTTTTTCTGCTTATTTTCTTTTAAACTCCAGTTAGAAAGAAAAAACTGAATTTTCCTGAAGAGTTATTTGCACATGTATCATTACAAAGTGATCATTATATTGTTTTACTAGGATCTTCTACAATCTTGTAACCAGATGCATGCAGGCTATCTGTTCCAGCCTATTTCCAGGTAGGAAAGGACTCTGAAAATACAGATTTATTCCAGAAACTTCACAAATTTTCTTCACTGTTTCAGACTGAAATATATTTGAAATTAAAGATAAAAGTAAACTTTAAATTGGAGTGTGGCAGGAAATATTAAGAAGCACATTTTACTACAAGTCCCTTTCAAGTTAGAAATTATATGGCTGTGAGATTCATCACCCCTCTCCAGAGTTATTTGAATTAAAAGTGCCCTGTTTACATTAAAACCTCTAAGCTCTCTATCCCCCTAATGGTGAAGCTAAACATGCTGCTAAACATTCTGCAAGTATTTTTCCTTTAACTGGTCTCTGGTTCAGTGATCCTAAAGCAATTTAAAGTACAAGTCAAACTTGTAAGTAGCAAAGGACAGGTGAATTGAGTTCAAAACCATAGGTCATGGTATTGAAATCCTGTTTTGGTATGGGACCTTTCAGCAGCTAAAAAGCTTCACAGCATTCATCCAGGGTAAACATGCTTTTTAAAGCACGGAGAAAAGGGCAGCTGTATTCATTTCTCAAAATCACTGCTGTAAGTGTGGTAAAGAAAGCTATGCTGATAGAGAGTGCTTTGGAAAGAGAACAACTGCAAATAGCATGTAGACATACAGCAAGAATTAAAATGATCTTTTGTCCATAATCAAAATCAAGCTTTCAGGAGCTTAGGAGAAAATAAAAAATTATCGCCCATTGTTGGTTTTTTTATTATTTTTGTTTGCTTCTGCATCAATGTTTTACTGAACAGATGGGATGCATTTCCTGTCATTATAGAAGTTAACACATCACCCAAAAGGCTCTTTATGCATTGCTTTTGTCCTTGCCACACTAGAAATGTTTTGGAGAGGGGAAGAGGGAGGAACTGGAGGCAGCAGCGTATGTTCAGTTTCATTGCTGGTCCAGATCTGTAAACAGAAGAGGCTCACCTACCAACAGAATGAATGCTCTCGGTGACTTGTAGTACAATAATATCGCTCGTTAATTGACTTACTGCTGACTGGCACCTATGACTGTGACAGGCGTGTGAACTTGCAGGTTCTCAAATGAATCTGGACTCTTTTGCATATTAATGCTCTTTAAAAGCTATATTGCCATTTCAAGCAGCTCCAGTGCCAGCACAATCCTCAGCAGAGCGCTCCAGCGCGGCGCACAGTGGGGTTTCCTGAACCAAGGAAACCTCAGGGGAGCAGAGACACCCGCCAGGAGCCGGCAGCTCATGTGACAGCAGCTGACGTAGACCTGGGCAGGGCCAGGAGCAACAGTGGCCAAGCCCTCCCACCTATAAAAGAAGCCCCTGGGGAGCACTAGTGACCAGGAGCACCGCAACCAGGGCGTGGTGTGTCAGCAAGGGTGTGGTGTGGCAACAGGGTAGGCAAACAGGGAGTGATGTGGTAGTTTGGGCAGAAGGGCACACAGGAATGGTGCTGTAGGTCTGCCAGCTCGACCAGGGAGCAGTGGTATCCACCTGGCAGAAAGCCATGGCCTCTGTAAACTCTGCACTTGCCGCGACAGACACAGCTTCCCAGGCAGAGCTCCGGTGGGAACACGCCGCCACCCAGGTGTCAGGCTGCAGGGTGTGCCCTACACTGCTGCCGTCTGGTACTGGCATAAGCGAGCACACCTGTGGGAGGTGCGCCCGGGTAGAGGAGCTCCTCCGCTTAGTGACAGAGCTCTGGGAGGAGGTGAGTAGTTTGAGGAGTATCAGGCAGTCCGAGAGAGAGACTGACCACTGGAACTGCACCCTGCCTTCCCTGGAAAGAGGCCTGTCAGGCAGACAGGGCACATGATAGGGAGGAATCCCTATCCTCTCTCCACCAGGCAGAACGGAGTGACCTAAATGATAGGGGGCAATGGCGACAAGTTCCTGACCAGCGCAGCAGGCAAATCTCCTCTGCGACTCCCTCACCTTCCCTCGTACAATAGGTATGAGGCTCTGGAAGTAGAAGCAGACAACGATGAGGGTGATGGTCCACCTAGGTTGTAGGTGTCACCAAGGTTAAGTCAGCCTACGCCCCATATCAAAACCACTTCCATAAAGAATAAAAGACAGGTCATTGTCACAGGAGGCCCTCTTCCGAGGGGAACAGGAGGCCCAATGTCCGATGAGGCCCACTTCTCAGGGAAGTCTGCTGCCTCCCTGGGGCCTAGGTTAAAGATGTGACAAGAAAACTTCCTACCTTGGTACAGGCCTCAGATTATTATCCATTAGTGCTTTTTCATGTAGGCAGTGACAAAGTTGCAATAAGAAGTCCAAGAGTGATCAAAAGAGACTTCAGGGCCTTGGAGTGACTGGTTAAGGGATCAGGAGCACAAGTAATGTTTTTCTCTATCCTTCCAGTTTCAGGGAATGATGTTCAAGGAAACAGGCAGACCCAGCTGATCCATTCTTTGAGTTAGATAAACAAACTTATGTCCTGCATGAAATAGTGTACACTGCATAAAAGGCTGCCATTGTAAAAATAGGATATAAAATGTGCACACTTAATTTTTCATACTTTAATCACAAAAACCAATGACAAGAACCAATGCTTATTCCAGAAGTGGCATTATTTCGTAACAGTTTCTTACTTTTATAAAGCTATTGTTGTTGGCATATTCTAGACTAGTATATTCTACACAACACAAAGTTATCGGGTCAGTGTAACCTATAATTTTCTATCATCATGTTTATCTCTGTGTAATATATAGCGAATGTCTATCATTGCTATGACCAGTTCTCTAAATGTGTTGATATTCAACAGGGAACATCAGGCTTTTTGAGACTCTTATCAACAGATTCCTTGAACTTGCTGAGTACCTTTATAAGGAACTGAGTTCAAGAGAAAACTTTGGGCTTGTGTTTGATGATGAGGTAAGTATGGATGAATGGAATATCTTTCTGATCTCTGTTCTCTACATATTGTCTTCTACTTCTCACATACTCAGTATTCATTGCTCATGTAACATTGTACTTTGGTTTTGTTGTTTCTTCTTTGTTTTATTGAAGCAGGCATTTTCCAGATAAGCATCATAGCATAATGTTGAGCGTCCTTATGGTGAGATGTATTTCTTTAAGAAACAAAGCATTTTTAACCCTTCTTCCTCTTATTCAGTGAACACTGCTGATATTGCAAGTAAGAGTAGTAAGTCAGATTAGAATTATTTTTAGTGCTCAACTGGAAGAAGATAATTGGCTGGGGACAGGTAAGGTATTGATCCTGCAAGATGTTGACTAAAACCTGTCATCGTATTCTGTCAAAGCAGTAAAAAAATCAAATAATTTTGTAGTGTTGTGCTTATTTGTAATGGTTTCAATGGGAGAGCAGGAAGGTGCAAGAACTATTATGTTGATTAGAGTTATTTTCATAATGTTGAGGTAGTTTGAAAAGGTAAAATAAATTCCTTTTGTGTTTTGACTCTTGTTGTTTCACTACTTATGTAGCAATATATGCTTAAAATGTAAAGGTTGGGATTACTGAAACAAAACGCTTCCATTTAACCCTAGTGATTTTTTCTACTATTTTTATTCTAGGTGAAACTTAGAAATATGGCCTTGCTTTTGTTGCTGTTCTGAATAATTTGGTTTTAAAGTGGTAGCATTTTAAAATGGCTGCATTGCATGCATAATGGAGATTCAGATTGCTGTTTGTGTGGCATTGTGCTCTCAGGTCCACATATTGACAGAACAGCTCAACAGTTTAACGTTAAACATCTGCTTTAATGTTCTGCTTTATAAGGACCAGAGTACTCAGCATTTTTCAGGGAGAAGTTCTAATAGGTGTGGATTTCTGTAGAAAGCAAGCATGATGAGGAGGGTAACAAGCAGTATTGATTTGCAGTAATTATCAGCCTTGGTCAGAACAATCGTTCTCTAGGTACAGGTTAGAATTCCTGAAAAATGCAAGTTACTTGGAGTACAAATCATGCAGGTACTGCTCAATATATGTCAAGTCCTCTGACTTCAGACCAAAGAGCAGGAGCAGTTTCTGTTGTGATTTGGGGTTTCCTAAGCAGAGAAATAAACTTATTTTGTTTTTGAAGCCTGAACACACCAATGTGTGCTTCTGGTACATCCCACCAAGCCTGAAAGGAAGGCCAAGTGGACCAGAATGGGATAAATTACTTCATCAGGTAATTTTTCTAACATTATTCAGTCAATCTGGAGGTTACTAAGGCATTTAGCAGTAATTCTCAATAGTCTAATCTCTTTTGTTTGTTTGAGTGTAACAAGGATTCAAGCATCAAAGTTTGACTGATGTGCAAAGAATTAGAACTGGACAAATCCAAATACAAGTGAAATAAAATTTCATAGCTGTATATTCTAAAGAAAATAATAAAATATTTTTGGAATTGTTTGTGATACTGGAGAGGTTTGAATTAATACTACAGGAGTAACACAATTGTGAATGTATGTTATACCAACATTAACAAAATCATGATGTGTTAATATAACTACAGTCCTCTGACTTTTGCCCTGTGTTGCAGTCTGAATGACCCAGCCCTGCTGAGTCTCTACCACTATCTCTATTCCCAGGGCAGTCATAATGATGCCTGAATGAGTTTTTCTCCCTGCAGTGGGCTGCAAATGAGGGACTAAAGGCAATTTATGATTACTTTCTGTGGTGTTTTGCTGGAGTCAGGAGGTAAGTGGAAGGAAGTACATAGCTTCTGCATTCATGAGATCAGCAGGGAACTGCAAGACCAGGCAGAGAAGTGGGGGAGGAAGGATCATACTGGAGTAGGTGGTCCCTTACTGCAGTGGGGTAGGATAGCATCCCTGTGACTGTAGTGCCTCCCTTGTTTGTTTAGCAATTATGAAAACTTCTTGGGGTTTGGAACTGTCTGGTAAGCAAACAAACAGTAATCTAACTAGACGTAGAGCTGTAATATTAAAGTATGACTACTGAAAGCATTAGTCAAATCAAATACTCATCAGATAATCCCCAGAATGAAACAAATTATCTCTAAAATTATCCTCTATCAAATTATTTCAAATCCCGGGACTTACTGTCTTTTCTTGTTTTGAATTTACTTTTTTCCTCCTTGTTTCTTCAGACAAAATTCTTTCTGGCTTTAGTAAAGGCCATATGACACTTGAAACTATGCAGTCACAATAATTCATTGTTCTCCTTCTCCTGACAAATTCTTTCTTCAGTTAGACACATCCCTGTGAAGCGTTTTGGGTCGAACAGCATGCTAGCTTATATTGCAAAGTCAGGTATAGAGCAGAGGGAGAAAGAAGCTTTACTCTCTCTCTCTCTCTCCCTCTCTCTCTTTTTTTTTTTTTTTTTTTTTAAAAAGGTTTTTTAACCCCCCTTTTCCCCTTTTTTTTTGCAGTTTTCCCCCCAAAAAAAGTAAGCTGCAGGCATTTTCCTCCCCCCCCTCTTCTTTTTTTTTTTTTTTTTTTTTTAAGAAAGGCTATTAACCACACTCATTCCCATCTTGTATGCAGATTGCTCCCAAGATCAAAGCACAGATGACAGAAGAAGGAATGACAATGATTAGCTATGAGCCACAAGGTGACAAAGCCAACTTTTTCAGAATGGTTTTCTTCAACCCAGCTACCGGGAAACCAGATGTTGACTTTCTCCTTGAAGAAACTGAAAGACTTGGCAAAGACTTGTGATAATTAATCTCTCAACTTTATGAGGTACCTAAATACAGCAGAAGTTTCCTACTTTGTATTAGCTGAACATGATATTAATCATTCTAAGGCTGGAAATAAGCTGTCATCATTGGTGCACACTAGAAAAAGCACAGAGGTTTTCACAGTACTCAGCTTATAAATTAATTTTTTTACTACTTCACAAAGCCTGAAATTTGTTGTGTGATGCTTCCTCAACTGGGGGGGGGGGGGTTATTTTGGGGGGGGGTTGA